ATACATACATATATACATACATACATACATACGTACATACATACATATGTATGTGTGTGTATATATATATATAAAAATCTCTGGAGTTTAATTTTGTTTAAAAATGAACAGCAAAATTCTCTACTAAACTCTGACTTTGAAACATGGCAGAACCATGTAGTTACTATCACATTAACCTGATGATATGTAGTCTGTATATTTTAGTTGATTTTCTGGTGCCCAGAGACTGAAAGAAAATTTAAGCTCTTCTTTTGCATTGAAATTCTTCTTCTAGGTTGATCCCCCAAGTCCCAGGGCTGATGCTTTATATGGATCTTCTGGCAGAGACTGTGAAAGAGATGGGTGGTCCAGGGTGCACAATGGTAAGCTACAAATTACCTCTCTTCATTTCCTTAATTGCCTTTGCTACATTCAAGCCTGTAACTTGGCATCAATTAACGAAAGCGGAATCTTTGCTGTATTATTGAATAATATGGTATAGCGCTACGTTCTATAACTTGTGGGATACCCATATAAGTACTCTCTAAAAATAATAGAATTTCTGTGCTGCTATAAACCATCTCCCTCTTTGAGATTCAAAATATGTATTTGTATATTAAATAAAGACTCTTATCTTCTAGTAAAAAAAAAAGTGATTTTGTTTGGCTCAGCTATTTCTAAATTTATTTCACTACCTCGACACATATTACTTAGTTTGTGGAACAGGCTTTGGGAAATACCATAGTAATAATAGAGTTACAGGTTTGGGGCATACATTTGGACATGTACTTAAATACTTGTTTTGCCACTTATTTATAAAGTGGGCATTCTTGAACAAATCCTTAACTATTTTGATAATCACTTTATTTATTAAAGAATGAAGATAAATGATAAATGTTACCATATAAAATGCTCTAGCACACAGGACTTAATATTAGCTGTAATTATAATATATAAATACTTATCACTTATATTTCTGAAAAGATAACATCCTTTAGGTTTAGCTTATAGGAATATTTCTTTCATCTTTAGTCCTGGTTCTAATGGTTAGATAAGTCTTTTCTTAAGTTCAATATGAAGATGATTTTTATGAAGATTAAATGGTATTGTATAATTAGGGATATTTGAGTGTTAGTATCTATAGACATTGGCTAGTCATTTCAGCAAGCATTCACCAGCAGCCTTTAAGTTAATTTACTACACACTGAAAAAGGCAGAGGAAGAAAAAAGATAGAGTGAAAAAAATATAATCATGACATGTAGTGAGCTCCATCTATTTCTGTTTCTAACCTGTAGTAGATAATCTCTTTTTTCTTTTAAATGGGTAATTGAAACATTCTTCTCTGAGAACATGCAAAGTTTGTGCTCATTTATTTTGTTTCTTTAGCACTAACAGGGAGATAGATGTGTTAATAACTCTTTTATACCTAGAATGTCAGATTACATGAAATTAGGAACAGATATTATATTGTTTCCCCTCTTAGAAGAAATTTATAGACATGGAAAATTAAGCTTTAAGAATAAGAAAACAAATAACCTCAATATAGATGTTTATTTAGAAGGTGTCTTCGGAATGCACTTAAGTATCTGATTTCTCTTAACAGTTATATATTTGCCAAATTCCAGACTCACAGAAAAGTTGAAAGAGTACAAAGAATTCTCATATACCTTTCAGAATCCACAAATATTAATATTTGCCTCTCTGTCTCCCTCTTTTCCCTTCCCTACCTCCATCTCTGTATGTGCACCTATGTATGAACTTTTTTTTTTGACAAGGGCATCGCTATGGAATTAATTGTGTCCCTTCAAAATTCACATGTCAAAGCTCTAATCCCAGTGTGTTGGTATTTGCAGATGGAGCCTTTGGGAGGCAATTAGGTTTAGATGAGTTTAGTGCCCTTATAGGAAGAGACACCAGAGAGATATTGTTTTCCCTCTCTGCCATGAGAAGACACAGCCATCAGGCAGCCATTTTCAAGTCAAAACAAGAGCTTTTACCAGAACCTGACTATGTTGGCACCTGGATCTCAGACTTCCAGCCTCCAGAACTGTGAGAAATAAATGTATGTTGTTTAAGCCACCCAGTCTGTGGTTTTTGTTATGGCAGCTGAAGGAGACTGATACAGATATTATCTTATGTGATGCAGTTATCAAAAACAAAAATTAACAACTTTATAAGAATAATATCCAACCTATAAACCTAAATCAGATATTGCTACTTGTCCCAATAAAATCTTTATAGCAAAGGAAATCCCACATCATGCATGGCCTTCATTTGCCATGTCTCTTTAGTTTTCTTTAACAAAGTTCAGTTCCTTAGTCTTAATTTGTTTTTGACATTGATAATTTTGAAGAGTATAGTCCAGTTATTTTGTAGGATGTCCCTCAATTTGTTTGATTTTTTCCCTCATGGTTAGATTTAGCTTATTCATTTTCCCCAGAATAATACAATAGGCATGACATGTTACTCTGAGTGTATCATGTCAGGAAGTACACGATGTTGCTTTGTTTTACTGGTGATGTTAGTTTGCTCACTTGATTAAGATGGTACCTGCTAGGTTTGTCTATCATAAAGGTGCTGTCTCTTCCCTTAATAATATGGAGAGATACCTGGAGACTCTGTAATACCCTGTTACTCCTCAAGTTTGGCCCCTTTAGCATACATTGATGATTCTTGCTTGAAACTATTTATTACTGTGATATATGCCAAATAGGGATTTTTTTTAATTCCATTATTCTTCGTAAATTTATTACTTGCATTTCTACTATAAAGATTTTCCTTTCTTATTTCTTTAATTTTAATGCCTCCATTCATTTGACTACATGTTTTCCCCTTGGCTGGCAGTTGAGCAGTTGTGATTTGGGTTTTCATCAGCTATTTAAATGCATATGGGGATTTCTTATGATAGTCTCTCTTAAACATAGTGAATTTTTACTTGAAACTATCTTACTTTGATGGAAGTTTTTTGAACCTTTTTTTGCCAAATTATCTTGCCTAATAATACTTAAGTTTTTATAGGATATCATTTTCATCACCATTGTTTGTTTTAGTCCTCATAATAATGATGTGAAGATGAATTTAACTGTATTTGATCAAGAAAAATGACAGAGGCTCGGAGAGGTTGATTTGTGAGAGAGCTCTGAGATAGCCATGGTCAGTCTAAAATCCATATCTTCTAACCCCAAGTTTCTTTGTTTTCCAGCACTCTTCTCTTTTCTCTGCTTTCATTCAGGCGGTTTTGTTTTGTTTTGTTTTGTTTTGTTTTGTTTTGTTTTTGTTTGTTTCTTCTTAGATAAATTTTTTGAGCACATTTTCTCTATCTGGAATTTCCATGATATATAATTCTAATTGTAATTTGTGTAGTCTTTTTGAAGAAACTCACTATGTCTCAAGAATGTTTGGAAGCTTTGTCCAATCACTTATGTATCTGGAGGAGAAAATCAAGGGCATCATACTTGGCCCTATTTTATTTGCCTAGAATTTAGGAAAGGTGTTAGATTCTGTTCCCCCCTTGGAGGAAACTTCTCTTATTCTCTTCATTTGAAGATTCTTTTGTGAGTTTCATTTCTACATATGATTGTAATATTTTTATGAGTTTCCATTAATCCCTTTGTTTGATGGTTATTATTAGTAAAGTAAAATAAATTGGAAATAATATTCAAATCATAATATGTCATATCTTGAGTAGATAGCAAAAAGTGGTAATATTTTGATGGTTTTTTAATAACATAACATATCGTCATATGTATATACTTATAAGCAAAATATCTTATTTTCTTCGGCTTTTATTTAAATGTGTCCCTCTTCATCTTAAAGCAATAGACAACAGAACTGTGTCCTGTTTAGGAACTCCTCTTGAAGTTTCTTTATTTCTCTATTCTTTATTAAACATTTTAACAGCTTTGTTAAGGTATGATTTATCTACCATAGAATTCACCTGTTTTAAGCGTACAGTTAAATAATTTTTAATAAATTTGCATAGTTGCTCAACTATCATAATTCATTTTTAGAATATTTCCATCATCCAGAAGAGTTTTTTTTAATACCCATTTACAATAAATCTGCATTCCCCACTCAGCCCCTGGATAGTTTTTCTACCTTTTGGCTATTGCGAATATTTGCACTGAAGTTTTTGCATAGACATATGTTTTAATTTCTCTTGGATGGGTACCTAGGAATGGGATTTCTGGTTCATATGGTGAGTTTGTATTTAACTTTTTAAGCAATTGCCAACTGTTTTTGCAATGTGGCTGTACCATTTTACATTCCCACCAGCAGTGTATGAGGTTTTTAGTTTCCCCACATCCTTGACAACATTTGTTATTGCTTCTTTTTATTATTATTATAACCATTTTGGTGGGTATGCAGTCCTATCTCATTGTGATTTTAATTTGCATTTGATTAATGGCATTGAATATTTTTTGATGTGCTTATTAGTCGTTTATACATCTTTTTTGATGATCATTACTCTTCCAGTCACTGGTAAATAGGGAATTTGCTCTTTCCTAAACTTCAGGTGAGAAAAGTGAGCGAGGAAAGTCTGAGACTTCTGCTATAGAGACTTTCACAGACATGAAAATACAAAAGATAAATATATTAGAGATCAGAATAAAAAGTTTCAAATGAATACGTCACAAGTGAGCAAGAGATAGAAAACACTTTGTTAAGGGCCTTTCCTTTTTAGAAGGCTTGATCCCCTGAGAGATATTAAACCCTGGTTTTATTTTATAAAGCTAGATATCTTAGCTTTGCTTCCATTTATAGAGACTGACATATAGCAAATGCATTGGCCGTATGCCACATGGAGATTCACAGGAGAGAAGAGGTCGACCTTAGAATGTTTTGTGGGCACTGAGGTAGCAGTAGGGTACGTGCAGATAAAGGACGCCAGGGGCCTGCTCTTTGAAGATTCAAATAGGTTCATTCAGCATGAGAGAAGTTTTGCATTATTAGTAGTGCTAACTACCAGACTAGTTTATAACTCCTTAAAGTTATGAAAAGGGAAGATGATAGTAGGGTACTGTGGAGGTTGCCAAGAATAGGGACTGACTCATAAGGAACACAGTGGTAATCATTATCAGAATGGGGCTCAAGAATTACTTTGATAGAAAGAATGAGTTGCTAAGAGATGTCAAGTTTTAGATTAAAGCTTTTTTAAGTCCTTGCTTGAAGTCAGGATTGGTCCTTTAGTACTGAGTCATATCTGAACCTATTGGGTGAGGGTCAACTAGGGAGAAAGGCAGGATGCAGAGACTCAGAGTTATCAAATTACTCCCAGTGTAACTGGTGACTTCGATACAAAGTGGACCTTAGTTTCTATATTAGATAATTGCTAAGGAAATGTTTTGATAACTGATGGCCACATTTTGTTTTCAATGTGTACTATTAGTCATTACTTGATATTTGATTAATTTGATTATATGTCTATCACATCATTTGGCTAACAAATCCATAATCTAATGTTATTTCAGCCTCCTGAAATGTAGAGTAGAAATAATAATTAGTATTATGTATTACATTAGTCTGCTTAGGCTGCCAAAGCAAAATACCATAGACTGGGGGCTTAAACAACAGATAATATTTTATCGCATTTCTGGAAAGTCTGGATGCTGGAAAGTCTAAGATCAGGGTGCTGGCAACGTAAGTTTCATTCTGAGATCTCTTGGCTTATAGGTAGCTGCCATCTCACCCTATACTCACATGATCTCTTTTTTGTGTATGCATGGAGAAAGAAATTGAGAGAAACAGCAGGAAAGTATACATGAGCATGCACATGAGTGCAAGCTCTCTGTCCCTGAGGGCCCTATCCTTATGACCTCATCTAACTAATTACCACCCAAAGGCCCAATCTTCAGATACCATCACTTTGGGGGCTAGGTCTTTAAGATATGAATTTTGAGACAACACAAACATTCAGTCCATAATACCTATTTCATGAGGTTATTAGAGAATCAGATAATAGCTAATATTTATTGAGTATATGTTTTTTGCTAGCAGCTATTCTAAGTACTTATATTTCATTGGTTAATTACTCATAGGAATATCGAGAATTTTAGATACTATTATTTATCCTCATTTTACAGACAAAGAAACATGAGATTTAAAGAAGTCGATCAAGATAATCTCTTTCTTTCTCTATCCCTACCCCCCGCGCGCGCGCGCGCGCACACACACACACACACACACACACACACACGATCGAATTAGCTCTTCATACTTTTCTCAGATGTGACCCATTCATTAAGGCCCAACTCAACTTTCTCCTCATTTAGGAAGCTTTTTCGAGAGATACAACCTTGAGAGATTGATCTCTAATATGACTTTAATAGTACCAATTGTGTATACCATTCTGACTTAGCCTATTCCTTTATGCTGCCATTATTCAACTTCGTATAACTTAACCAAAGTAAACTATAAGCACTTTGCAACCACAAGCCATGACTCTTATCGCCTGTATAGAATATAATTAGTAATTATTGGTATGGGTGATTAAATGTGAACATTGGGAAACCTCAGATCAAAGTAACAGTTTAATTTGTAAAAATGAAAGAAAATTATAAATCTGCCTGAATTAGAGGAAGTTTATAAATATTTCATTTAAAGCAAAAGACATACTAGTTTTTTAATATATTGATACTTTTAATATTACATTAGCTGTCAAAGGGAAGATATACCATGTCCAGAAATTATTACTTTAATTTTCAAAGTTAGCATGTTTGGAGAACTAGGCTCAGGATGTCCTTATCATTCTTTTATTTCTTCTGCTACTTATGGCCATGTTGTATATTAGACTTTGCAGAAGAAGAGCTGGACTGTGATTTATTTTCATTTTTAATTTTGAAAAGCACATGAAGTAGGTTGAATCTTACTGAATTAAATGGTGAAATTGTCCTTGTGTGAAATACATTAATATTTCAGCTCTCTTCTACAATGGTTCAGGACACTTGGAAAATAAGCAACACTTGTACCATAAAAGAAAGCTAACTGACTAAATATAGACTATCCTAGGTGTCTGTCCATATAGCCATTATTTTTTCTGGACAAAGCGGTTTAGAAGGTGAAATGTAGAATGTTAGAATGCTTTTGACCAGAATGTATGAGTAAGGAAGTAAAATTGCAAATTATGATTCTAATATGCTTCACTGTCAATATAAAAAAGATTATAATACTTAAAAGTTGATTCTTAAAAGCTGACTCCTTTAAGTAATGAGTAAAACCAAAAGTCCGCATCGACTGTGTAGCAGTTATCATCTTCGGGAGAGATTTAGAATTGTTTTGTAATCGACTTTGTTACAGATATAGGGACTTTCATAAGCTGTATAATTTAATCGTTATTATGACTCTCTGAGATAGTTAGCATTGTCTTTATACTCTTAAAATTAGGAGTGAAACAGATTAATTGTATAACTCGACCAAAGTAATATATTTGATAAATGGTGGAATCAGAAATTAAACCTAGGCTTATTTGACTTAGAATTTGATAGTAATGAGGTCACTGATGGTGTTAGTAATATTAGTTAACATTTGTTTTATTGCCTTACATGTAATATCTAATGTAATCTTTAAAAAATTTATGAAAGAGGTACATGAGACCGATGAGGAATCTGAGACTTAGAAAGATTAGGTAATGTGTCCAAGGTCATACAAGAAGTGCTGTGGGCCAGACTAATGTAGATTTATTTGTTAAAAAGGTCTGTACACTAAAGTATGTGCTACCACCTTCTAAAGCTGGTCTTGTTTCCATTATGCAAACTTGACACTAAGAATAGGAATACATGTAGTTTGATAATATCTATAAAATCTATGTATTCAAATTATATTTCATCATAAACTGGTTTTTTAAACTGTAAATTATCCATGTCATCCATATCAATTTCATAACCAATCATGTAAACAAATTGGTTTATCAACTAAAAGTTATGCAAATCTATATTCAGGTATTTCCTACTCTAATGAAATTAGTATTTGTGAAATCCCTTAATTACTGAAGAACTGATACAGATTTTAACTTGTTGCTTATCATCTTCACTTATGTAACATTGTTGAAGGATTTTAAGATATTTTTGAAAACTGCTGTATGCATTATAATCATAGTAACAGGGTGATAGTAGAAAATCAAGGTTGAAACAAAATTTTCTTTTTTTGATATGAAATATTTATAGTTTCTTTTGTATATCCTTTTTTAGATCATTCTCATGTTGGCTGCTACCGACCCAAGGATTATAAGGTATATAGTATACATTACAAAATGATAACTATCCTTGCTCTCAGACAAAAGCATGTCAGAGATTATTGCACAAACAATAATTGTCATATGAATGTCATTATTTTGGCTACATTGTCAAGTGGTATAATAGACTTTTCATTACATTTCTTCCCACAAGTATTTTGTGGCTCTTGATTGTTCATTTGGTATAGTTACTTATTGAATGTGTTTGTGTATGTATAAGTGTGTGTGAAAAAGAGAGAGACAGAAATTGGTTGTTGCTTTTAGTAATACACAGTACTATTTATAAACTTTAGTCATTCACAGAGGATCCTCATAATTTTAGTCATTCACAGAGGATCCTCGTAATATCTGCATGCGATTTATGCTTTTTTCTCTAAATTTACCTTCTTTTTTCCTCACCACTGTAAATGAAAAATCAATATTACATGCTTTCAAAGTATGATAGTCTTAAAAAATACAGTGAAGACAAGACAATTGTGCTAAATTCTGTCTAGATAACTGTTGTTTTCCAAAGGCTATAAGACATGTTTTCTATTTCTTAAAATGGGGTAAGCAATGGTAGAGAGATATAGGAGACATAAATAGCTAACCGAAGATTTCTGATTGAAAGATAATTGAAAAGAAAATACATTTTTTTGTGATGCTATATTATTTAGTGTATGTCCATGTGCCAGGTAAAATATTACTGTGTACCATCTAAAATCATTTGGGGTACCATATTAATTATCTGTCATACCACTAGTAGTTCAAGTCCTACATTTGGAGTTCTGTCTCAGAGTTTGTCTTTTCTGTCCTTAAGTGAAAGCTTCTTGATAATAGAGTTAATATAGTTGGGAAAACAAAGCCAAACAAGATACATAACTTTCCTTCTAATACCTTTGCTTATTTACTTGAAAATAATTTATTTCATGCTTACCAAATAGCATAGTGCTTTGTCATGGTTTGAGTGTGATAAAAGAAATATGGAACAGTGAAGTAATGAGTCAAGGCACTGTATGACTACAGGCTTAGATCTACTGAGTGTCAGAATCATCCAGGTGGAACTTTACAAAAATTCATTTCAGGCCTACTGAGTTGAAATTGTTGAGAATGGAGACTGGAAATTTTTTATTTTTAACAAGTTTTTTAGGTGATCCTTATGCAGCTCTCTTGCCATCTAACCGAGGATTGGCATTTGAAAACCACTAGTATAGGCTACAAATATAGCACTTATGTTAGAACTGTCCCTTGTTCGTGTTTGGATGGGATTGTGTCCTTGTGCAAGCCTTCCCTGAGAGGAGCGGGGACCTGGCATAATTCAACTGATGCAGACCCATCCCGTTATGTGGAATTCACTCAGATACACATACATATGTGCATGCACACTGATGTATATAATATATATGTGTGTGTGCGCACACATGTACACATGTATGCTCACACATGTCAGGAAGCATAATGCTCGGTGTCTTACATGGGGCTCAGGGGAGCCTCTTTAGTTATCCTAAATCACTTGTAATTTATAATTGTATATTTATTTTCATCTTTGTTTAAAATCTTCCCTTCTTACTACTCTGTAAGTTCCAGGATGATAAGGACCTTATTGATCTTAATTAATCGCTAGTACTTAGCAGGTCATCTGCTATATAACGTGGCTTCTTAATATATGTGTATTGTGTGAGTAGATTATGAAGAGAAAACAAGTAAACCAAATATATAAAAATACAGAGTGGAGAGAATGGGATAAATCTCATAGGACACTGATTTTTATCCTCAGGTAACTGTACTCCTCCAGCTCTACGCTGGCTAGTCCATTTAAAAATAGGTGTAAGTATTTAGAGTCCTCTTTTCCAAATGAATTCTTTGAAAGAACTGCATTTCCACCCATCTTTAACTCTACCCCACTCTCACCTCCAGATTCTTTACTTTTAGATTTAGTGTATAAATTGATAAGTCTTACTACCCTCATAAAGCAGTGGATGGTCAGTGAGCTCACAGGATTATTTTTGTATTCAAGGCATAGGTTTTCATAGAAATGCTTATACTGGAAAGAATAAAAGATTTTTTTATAGGCACGTAGGAGCTGGTTAATAAATATTCAGATTGTGGAACACTTTAGGGTTTCTACAAGGAAAAGAAGCTGGGGGTACTTGCAAAAAAATTTCTAGAAAAGTGGGACTTTGCCTGAATTCTGTTGAGAAATATATTTTACATAGGCAAGAGAAGAAAAAGCAGAGTGTCTTTAGAAGGAAAGCAACATGAAAAAGCCTTCGGATTTGGAATTAGTACAGTGTCCTGGGAGAAAAGAGAAACTACTGGTCTGGCTCGAGTGATGATGGCTTTTTAACATCTTTATTTACTATTTTTCCTACTTCTCCATACCTATTACATGTGCTGGCTCCCTTTTTAAGTTTTCTGGTTGCTTGACTATATCTGTTCTTTTGGCCAAACTCAACTCTCTTCATCCTGGATAAATTATAAACAGCTATTCTCATAAATACTTATATTCTTTTAGTGTCATTTCTTTTTATTGTTGTACCATCACTCCACCCTGAATCACTGGCTTCTTCTCTCCCACATATGTAGTTCCATATGCTTTGTGTATAATAGGCATTCATTTACTATGTTGGTTTTCAGTGGAGGTTGTATCAACCTCAATGTGGCATTTTAGACATTTATAGGGACTTTTTTTTTTGTTACAGTTATTTAGGGAAAGTGCTCTTGATATTTAATGAGTAGAGAAGCTATATACTCTATAAAGAGTGCGACAATTCCAAACAGTGAGGAATTCTCATGACTTTCAGCTGTCTCACTGACCATTATGGAGGTGCAAAACATGTTCCTAATTATTAGAACCAGTCCAACTCTACATAAAACAGAGTGTTTTTAATTGTTTTGAGATACACCATATATTACAGGAATACATGTATAGTATAAAGATTATAGTTTATTTTGTTAAAAAACATATGGTGTAATATAAAACCATGATGAAGTATATGGCTGCTCATTTATTTTCCTGATTTTCTTGGATGGAATGGCTTATGATCCTCTTACTTTTACTTCAAACTTATTTATATAAGCAAGTGCAAGCATTCATTATATTTTCTAGAATAGTCATATTTGAGCATTAATGTATTGATGTACATGTTCGAAGTCACATTCCTTTACTTTCTCTTTTATACTATAGTTAGGACAATACAATATTTGAAAGTATGTGTATTTGTAAGTTACAATTTCAATACATTTCACTTAAGGATTTAGTAGAGGGCAATGCAAAATATTTGTTCTTAAAACAAGGGCTACAATAACAAATACCATAGACTGGGAGACTTAAACAACAGAAATTTATTTTCTCACAGTTCTGGAGGCTGGGAATTCCAAAATCAGGGTGCCAGCCGGTTTGGTTCCTGATCAGAGCAAGAATCGCTTCTCAGCAATAATTCTACTCTGAAGGAGAGAAAGATAAATTGTGGTGGAAAGCTCGCTATTTCTG